TAGTGCTCAGTAATATATGCTCCAGGGAGCATGGATCCTTTTAAGTTGTGCTGCTATTCTCCCCTGGGAGTAATATCGTAACCTCAGCTCCTAATATGTCAGCACAGACTCTGATGTTCCCCCGGCATCCAGGAAGAAGTCTCACTAAATTCATCAAGTCACCAAATATTTACTGACTGCCTACAACTGGAAACAAGGTAACTTAGAATTTTAGGGGACCCTGACTCAAAGTTTCAGCTCCTATGATTTAGTCATTGGAAAATAAATACTTAGCACCTGTACCATCAGGAGCCATTAGTATTGGAGCCGAGAGACTTGGGAAATAGATGGCATGGACCGGCCTTGCTTTTCTCTGGACATATATGCCAAAGGATGTTGGGCAAAATGTTTGTGAGCGCTGACATGCAAGTGTGATGGTTTAGGGGATGTAAATATTTTTGATGCATTGGTTTGTAGGATTTTAATGGTCTATATGGAACACACACACACACACACACACACACACACACACACATATATATACATATATATATTATCCTTTTGAGTTTAAAAAAATTTTTTTTTATTGATTTCAGAGAGGAAGGGAGAGGGAGAGAGAGATAGAAACAACAATGATGAGAGAGAATCATCAATCAGCTGCCTCCTGCACGCCCCACACTGGGGGTCGAGTCCACAACCCAGGCATGTGCCCTGACCGGGAATCAAACCAGGACCTCCTGGTTCACAAGTCAATGTGCAAACACTGAGCCATGCTGTTCAGACTCCTTTTGAGTGTTTTTTTTTTTAAATATATTTTATTGATTTTTTACAGAGAGGAAGGGAGAGGGATAGAGAGTTAGAAACATTGATGAGAGAGAAACATCGATCAGCTGCCTCCTGCACACCTCCTGCTGGGGATGTGCCCGCAACCAAGGTACATGCCCCCGACCGGAATCAAACCTGGGACCTTTCAGTCCGCAGGCCGACGCTCTATCCACTGAGCCAAACCGGTTAGGGCCTTTTGAGTGTTTTTTTATCTTTATTGGCTGAGCTGCTGATGCCTTTGTGTAAACTACAAAGTGGTGCCCTAACATTTGATGGTCCATTAGCTGGACCATTTGTGTGGCTGCACTCTGCTCTTACAGTGTGGTAGGCCTTACCTACTGTTTTCCGAGTCTCCATGCTTTCCCAGAGTTGGCAGCTTGGTAGTGTCTCTCAGGCATGTGGCAAACCTGCTTCTTTGGTTGTCCATGGCCCTGAAGGATTGGAAGCGCATTGATCTATGCTTGATTTCAGGGGAGTCTTTTGGGCACTTGGGAGTTCTAGGAAGATCCCTTTGGGGAGTGGCCAGACAGGTTGTGTTCTTCTCCCGCTCTGCTGCCCCATGTCTGTGTGACCTTTGTTAGGTCACATCCTCTTCAGGACATAATTTCTTCGTGGGAGATTGATGGTTAGGGGATTCTGACCCAAGCAATCAATGTCCCCTGGTATTCCTTCCAAATAGCAGTGATGGTCTGAGCTTCTCCATATTTACAAATCTTAGTAAAGATCAGACAATGGTCTATCAGTGGTTTTCAACCTTCTGGCCCTTTAAATACAGTTCCTCATGTTGTGACCCAACCATAGAATTATTTTCGTTGCTACTTCATAACGTTATGAATCATAATGTAAATATATGATATGCAGGATGGTCTTAGGCGACCCCTGTGAAAAGGTTGTTCGACTGCCAAAGGGGTCGCGACCCACAGGTTGAGAACCGCTGGCATATATTTTATTACTCAATAAAATGTGGGTTGTTGGACAGCATTTTGCAGCCATGAGTCCTTCTGAGAGAAATTATCAAAGCAACATTTGGAGTGAAAAGATTAGTGATACATAGACAATGTAATCTGCAGCGCAGGTCTTCATTATCTGGCCTATGATCTGAAGAACAGGGATAAGAAACACCATAAAAGGCACAGAAAAAGTAACATGTATTGAAAACAAAATCCATTTTATTATCATTTGAACGTAGCGTTTTACCACCAAAAGATAATGCAGCTACTTCAGTATCAAAATGTGGTCCGGGACCAGCAACATCAGCATCACTGGTGCTGGTTACAAAGGCAGGTATTTGGGCCCCAATTCAGACCTACTGAATCAGAATCATTGGGGGCAGGTTTTACAATCTGTGTTTTTGCAAACATTCCGGGGTGGGGGGGGGTGGGGGGGGTGTCCAGTAAAGTTTGAGAAGCATGGAGACTTTATAACCTCTTCAAGTTTCTTGATAAGCAGCAGGTCACTTGATTCTCATCATCACCTTCTGTGTCACTTGCACAACTACTTTTATTCTCATTGAGTCTGTGGTGGGCACACAGAGAAGTCAAATGACTCAGGGTTATATAGTCAGTTTTATATGTTTATTATTTGTCTCTTGGCATGTTTGGTATATGACATATAAACATTATGTCAGTTTCTTCTCCATTAAAGTTGACCCCAATTTTACTACCTATTTTTGGAGCAAGGATTATTACCTACTAGAGGCCCGGTGCACAAAAATTTGTGCATTCAGGGTGGTTCCTCAGCCCGGCCTGTGCCCTCTCGCAGTCTGGGACTCCTTGGGGGATGATCACCTGCTGGCTTAGGCCTGTTCCCCAGGGGATTGGGCCTAAGCTGGCAGTCAGACATCCCTCTGACAGCCCATGGGGGATGTCCACTTGCCAGTGGGAAGCAGGCCTAAGCTGCAGTCGGACATCCTTAGCACTGCTGAGGAGGCGGGAGAAGCTCCTACCACCACCACTGTACTGGCAGCCGTCAGCCTGGCTTGTGGCTGAGCAGAGCTCCCCCTGTGGGAGCGCACTGACCACCAGGGGGAAGCTCCTGCATTGAGCGTCTGCCCCCTGGTGGTCAGTGTGTGTCATAGTGACCAGTCATTCCCAGTCATTCTGCTGTTAGTGTCAATTTGCATATTATCCTTTTATTGTATAGGATAGAGGCCTGGTGCATGGGTGGGGACCGGCTGGTTTGCCCTGAAGGGTGTCCCAGATCAGGGTCGGGGTCCTGCTGGGGTGCCTGGCCAGCCTGGGTGAGGGGCTGAGGGCCGTTTTCAGACTGGCCACACCCCCTTCAGGGTGAGGGTCCCCACTGGAGTGCCTGACCAGCCTGGGTGAATGGCTGATGGCTGTTTGCAGGCTGGCCACAGCCCCTTCAGTGTGGAGGTCCCCATTCGGTGCCTGGCCAGCCTGAGTGAGGAGCTGAGGGCTGTTTTCAGGCTTACCCCACCCCCTTCAGGGTGGGGGGTCCTGCTGGGGTGCCTGGCCAGTTTCGGTGAG